TTATTTTTATTGATTGATTTATTGATTGATTGGTGGTGGGGGGGTCGCCTCCCCCCCGCGAACACACACATACACACACACACACGCACACACACACCGACACCCACACACACACACACACGCACACACGCAACTGTTTTTTTGTTTTTTTTTTTATTGATTGATTGAGTGGCAGTGAGGGGGTCGCCTCCCCCCCTTGAACACACACACACACACACACACACACACATACGCATGAGGGGCAACTGCCCTTTTTTTCTTGGTACGAGTTTCTTTTTTTTTTCTTTTTTTTTCTCATCTTTTTTGTTTTTGATTTTTTAAAAATCCTTTCAAAGGTCAAAAAAAAATAAAAAATGGGGTTGTAGATCTTTTCAAGATCTATAACCCCATTATTTATTTATTTATTTATTTATTTGTTTTTTTTTCCCCCCAAATCACCGTCGTACGGACGTCGCCTGTACGCCCGTACGGCCATCTGTCCGTCTGTACGCATGGGCCGTACGAAGACCCCCCCGTACGACGTACGGGGGGCTACACTGTCGGGTTGAAGTTCTGGTATCTCAAAAAAAAAAATTGTATGTGCTCTAAAAAAAAGAGAATGCTTTAGGATTCTGAGGACTTCTAACAACTCGCTTTAGGCTGTTTGACACTGGTACATCCATAGATCCGCGGTTTGTTCGATGCCAGAACGACGCTGGCCGGTGCTGGGGTGTTGCCTTGTAACTTGCTGGCTGCAGGAGCGTGAGGCCTGGTAGAGAGATCTGGGGATGCTTTGGGGTGGGCATTCCAAGGGTCCAAGGGACAACCAAGGGTTGCTTTTGGGATGACGCTGGCCAGAGCTAGGACGAGTCGTGTTGCTCTGCAACCTAGCCGAGTGGGAGTGTGAGGCCTGGGAGAGCCCGACAGGGAATAGGACAATGTTGGACAGTTTTAGAGAATTTTGTTTAGGAGTCTAGGGGTTCTGAGCATTTAAAAAGGGGTCAGTAGTGATTCATAGTTTTTTAACCTCTTTTTAATTCTCTTGAATTTCTTTAATAGTTCTCAATAGCTCTCAGATTCAGCAGGCGAGAGGCTTCGACCCACGGCGGAGCGCCGGTTCCGGGCGAGTAGCGTAGCGCTCCAGAAAGCGGCGTCGCCCTCTCACCTCGGTGGGAGGCGGTGTCCGACCGTCCCCTCCGCTGTCGCGACGGAGAATGGAAGCGACCGTCTGCACTTCCCGCAACGAGGAAGGAGGCTAGGCCTCAGTGGTGCTCCGCTCGGACAGTCCAAGGCCTTCGGTAGTTTAGGGTTTTCACCATAGCTGTTTCACCGTGGTAACGCAGTAAAAGTTGGGGCGTCCATAGGGAATGGGAACTCCACCGCGTAGTTACGGTATCCCTCAGATGCAGGATAGCAGGCCAGAACCGAACTGAGTATGCCTATCACGTGTAGTGCCCCGTCACATCCCAACAACCGGGAAGACGTCACCCGTCACTTGACCATAGCACAGGTAAGGACGCGGTGGTTACTACTTGCCGTCATTTGGTTGGAGACTTTGAGTAATTTGAACGCAAGATAGCGGGGCGGAAGAGTAGATAGCACTCAGTTAAATACCATGGTAAACAGGGAGTTAACTGGAGAACTTTGCAGCCCGAACTGTTCACCATAGACATGGAATCAAGCCCCGACGGTAAGGTAAAGTGCAGTAGTGGAAGTTGCCGCAGGCCCGCAGAAGGGAGGAAAAGTATATCACCTTCCGCTCCATTTCCTGGGGACGCAAGTGCTAGGTTCGTCCGAACACCTGAAGTGTGTTCTCTCTAGTTTGGAGTGCGGGTAAAGGCGCCTGCGTGCGGTAATAGAGAGGAGCCGTGTTACAACTATTAAGGCGAACTCCGTTTTCGGCGCACTTGTACGCGGGTGAGAGGAACTAAACTTGACTTTGTGTCGACGGTCGATGGGAGGAGGACCAATCTAGACTTGAAAATGGCGGATGCATTCGGGTTATGGTTCTGATTGAGCATTTTTAAAGGGATTAGAATTAGAGAGAAGACTAGTTTCAATTCATTACGAATGTCGTGCACGGGAGTGAGGCGCTCCGATGGACGATAGACTATCATCTTAGGTTCTCTCCCTTTGTGTGCGGGCAAAGGATTCTGAGCGCGAGTGAGGCACTCCGTGCACGGTGTGGTCTTCGGTTCTCTCTCTCACTTTGCATACGGGTAAAGGCCTTGGCGTGTGGTAATAGGGAAGAGTCGTGCTCCATCTAAGGCGAGCTCCTTTCTTGCGCGTGGGTGAGTGGAGCTAAGTATGGCACTTCATGCACAGCATCGTCTTCGGTTCTATCTCGTCTCGAGTGCGGGTAAAGGCTTCAGCGCGCGGTAATAGAGAAGAGTCGTGCTCCAGCTAAGGCAAGATTGTTTCCGGCACGCTTGTGCGTGGGCGAGTGGAGCTAAACGTCACATAGTGCTGACGGTCGATCGAATGACGACCAATAGACAACTGGACTTGAATGCGGCAGATGCATGCGGGTTATGGCTCTGATTGAATGTACTAAGGATTAGAGAGAAGTCCAGATTCATTTCGAAAGTCGTGCACGGGAGGGAAGCACTCTAATGAACAATAGGCTATCATCAATAGTGGTCTCGTGGGAAAGCAAGCACTGAATGGGTAGGATCTCAGTACATGCTACGGTGGAAGTGCGGTGGGAGGCGAAACCGTGAGGGGAAAGGTAAAGGAGCACCGGTAATGTCTCAGAAATCTTATTGGGGGAACGGCCGACTTCGATACGGGAGCCGCTAAAGTTCTCCGGGTGAGTGTACACAACTCTCAATTGGTACACCGATCTGGTTTGCCACCTTCTATGAGTCGATGAGTTTTGTACCATGTTGTAATAGGGCTTTGCGGTGCCACACACCACGGGGCGTTGGGTATGCCCAGGCTCATACGGATGACGCACGTAACTCCGTCCAGAACGCCCTGCTAGAAGATACTAAGGAAAGTAGGTACAAAGCGACTATCAAGGGTTGTTAATTGGCTGCCTCGAAGTAGAAAGGTACTTTTTCCTTGATCTTCAGTCCTGCATTCATGGTGAAGGGTCACAACAACGCGGGTCCTTGGAACAAAAATGCCCTCTTGACGTACTCAATATTACTAGTTGTGCTCCTTCAGGGACCGGAGTTGTGACGTAGTGCCGTCTCTACCTCTGCTCCTCCCTACCTATCTCTTCCCTACCTATCTCTTCAACAGCAATCCCATTGAGGGATTAGTCTGATAGGCTGTCCTACCGATCCCTAGGCAGATCAGCGATATCACACTGAAGACAGAGGATGGAAGGCACCAAAGGCGACGGTCCTGCAGGAACCAGGGAAGGTACACTCCGCCAGCAATGAGGACCGCTGCTAACTTGCAAGGGGAAGGGAACGAAAAGCTACGATGGAAGATCCAGGCAGGCACGCCCCTTCAACGCAACAGAGACAAACGCAGGTTGTCGAGGATCGTGTGCGCGCTTCTGTAGGGAGGTGTTATGATGAAGGCATATGCCCGGATGGACTCCAGCTGGGGGAAGTTGTAGAGGATGAACAGGGGAGGCGCTTTGTGGTGTATGAGGATGTAGACAACATTAAGGAAGGCTGGTTGAAAGAGCGTACGGTCATCACAGTCTTTCAAGAAGAGGCAAGGCACCTATCAGGACAGATCAAAGAGGACTTGATCAGAGCAGATGAGGACGGCTGGATGTCTCAGAAGATCTTCAACCCTGAGATGGGCAGGGGTCGAATCCGCTTTGAAGGACAAAATGTGGTTTCCTTTGTGGCAAAGGCGAAGGAAGTGGCAGATTGGCTGTTGAGGAAAAAAGAAGCGAGGCTGGAGTTAGGACCAAAAGAGTACCTGAGAACCTTTAAGCCGTGGATACCAAGGCAGGAACTTTGGGAACTCAGACTGCAGGAGGCGGAAACGAACTTCTGGATAATTGCGCCGAGAATCCAGTTAGACGCGTACTATTACTTGCACGGCGTTGTCAGTAGTATGTTTGGGGAGGTGGTAGAAATGCACCCCCCAGAATACGGCCGGACGAGGCCAAAACTGATGAACGTAAAACTGGATCTGCGCCCAGAAGCCAGATTTCAGGTAGACAATGAGCTAATCATTGAATCACCGAAAGTTGAAAGATGGAAAGTGGAGATAGTCACCCCCTACACCGATTGGTGTAGGAAATGCAGGTGGTATTTCCACATAGAGGAGAACTGTCCAAGGAACAGACATAATGCAGAAAGGAGGAACGAAAGAGGTACAAGAACGGGCGGTCATCAAGAACGGTTTCGGCAGAAGTTGAGGAACAGAGAACAGCCAGCAGGAGGCGAAGTGACGGCAGTTGGGTCTCGAGGTCCTAGGCAGAAAGGAGTGTCAGGGTCGCAGGACGTGAGGAGGTCTAACGGGAATGCAACACAGAGGGCACAAGGTCAGGAACTTACGACCTGAACACAGAGTCACACGAGTCGTCTTGCCAACCCGGTCTCCCCACGCATTGTATATCCTCAGGCCAGATTGGAGGTTAACGGAAGACCAGGCTCTACCGGCGCCCCAGCAAGGGGTATGGCAAACAGTTCGCAGTATGCCGGTCACAGGCACTTCCAAGGAGAACGCCAACATTCATGGGCTAAAAGGAGGGACTGGCCTGTAGGACCAATCCCAAAAGAAGCGGTGATGCTCATGGGAAACAGGGAGCCTGAGTGGTCGACACATCTGCACCCCCATCCCCATCACCATCAAGACCATCAGATCATGTACGGACAGGCACGGCATCCGCCGGAGGCACCTTTCAGACAGCAAGAGAACTGGTACGATGACCAGGGGAACAACTGACCGGGCCTTACTCCACCAACACACCACTGTACACAGCTGACTTCCCCAGACCAACCTCGGCCCAGATACTCCTCGCCCTCCTCCTTTGATTGGAGAGCACTAGCACAACAACAACAGCAAGGGGCGGCAACACAATCCCAATTGGTGTGGCCTCAGGGCAGGCCAGGGATTGCAGAGATGGAACAAACAATGCTGGGACATAGACGAAGGAATGCCACTTCTTGGAGGGACTGGGTAGAGGAAGAAACAAGGAGACAGCAAGACACGGAGTATGCTGGGAGAGAGCGGGCCAACAGGCGGACATTTGATACAAGATGGGCGGATGAGGAAGGGGAAGGCATGGGACAGGTGGAGGTTGCTGACGCTGGACAAAAGGTAGTGGGCGGTCGATGGGAAGGGGAAAGAAAAGGGGACAGGGAAAGAGAGGGTCATGTTGTCTTGCCCCAGAGGGAGTTGTCCACAACCTCAATCACGTCCCAGTCACGTATTAGGATGGGTAGTGAACTAGGGAAAAACTAGTTGGGTGAAGAACTCTCGAGGTCCTAGATAGAGAGCTCAACACAGTCTAGGATACCACGAGCTGAAGGGGAAGGGTTAGGATCGAGGCAAGAACTCACTGGTAGCAGGCGGGTGGATGTACTCCACAGAAGTGAAGTGGGGTCTGTCAAGCGAAGAATGGTGCCCCTTGTATGTGCCAAAGCGAGGGAGGGCACCTACTTCCTAGCTCTCACGAACAGCGAAGGCAGCCCATACATTCCATCTGAGGAAGTGAACAGAACACCTACCCCTGCAGTGATCATGAAGACAACTAGGACGCTGTATGGGGAACACATCCCAATCAGCCTGAATCAGGATAATCCCAAGTGCAATTATGAACAACCTCACCTGTGAGACTTCACAGGGGGTAGTCAAGTTCTACTTCCCCCTGTTGGACGCACGACTTCCACAGGAGTATGCGGAGGCACTGACGCAATCAGGCGTCAAATGGTACAACACAGATAAGGTGAGAGAGCGGGGAGCCCAGGAACTGGAGCAGATCCAAGTTTTCCACAACATTAGTGCGCTGATCCTGCTGTCCGTGAACGAGAGACTGCAGCTGAAGAAACACTGCAGTCACAATTTTTAACAACAAGGTTGACAAGGGACTGGGCAGTCCGCTCATGTGCGAGTTCCTCAAGGGGTAGTTCGAGAAACAAACCCCATTCGCAGTCCATGCTGCAGGCGCAGAAAACTCCGGACAGAGCAGCGTGGTGAACCAAAAGCAACCGGATCATATCGAACACACAGACCAGACAGACCCAACCCGCATCCAAGAACAGGCGGAAGAACAACGAAATCATGGATAAACTCAAGATCGCAACCTGGAATCCACAAGGGTTGGGGGACACAAACAACAGACAAAAACGAAGACGCGTCAAGAGATGGATACACTATCGAAAGGTGAACTGCCTCTTGGTGCAGGAATCAAAGTTAGACGAGGAAAAGTTAGAAGCGATGGGGAGTTGGTGGGAAGGACCACAGGTCTGTGCGCCGACACAAGGGACGAGTGGGAATATTGTTACACCGGGATCTGCAGATGAGGGTAGTCGAATCAGAGGTGGACATCTGGGGTAGGTGGGCATGGGTCACGTTGGAGTCGAAGGACAAGGAGTGGGTGTTGATGACTGTGTACGCGCCCACGAACCCCGGAAAATGGGTCAGATTTTTTGAGAACCTGATTTCGCATATCCCAAAAATGGAGAACCTGATCATCGCAAGGGACTGGAATCTGTCGCTAGACGAAGCACTGAAATCGGACTCGCGCATTGCTGGAAGAAAGGACATTCGGACCCTGATAGAGTTGATAACAGAACTAAATCTATCAGATCCATACAGGCTTCTCTCTCCGGATGATCCAGGTTACACTTGGGTCTCACACATCCAAAGGGAGAGAGGCACAGTGGCGAGGAGGGGGCTGGATTATTTTTTAGTAGCTAGCCCGGTGTTAGAAGAGGTAACAGCGGTCAAACAGACGTGTAACCCGCTTTCGGACCACAAACCGGTAACTGCGGAAGTCAAGTTACGGATAGGCATGGAGTGAGGGGGAGGCTTCGTCCGACTGAATGCACAAAACCTTGAGGATGCAGGACTAATAGAGTGGGTAGGACAACACTTGAAGGATTGGGAAGAGACTAAGCACTTGTTCTCATCACCAGAAGAGTGGATGGATGGGGGTCTGACCATCATCTCAAGTGTTCTGAATGTCTGCTCGAAGATCCTGGCCAGATCCAGGAACAAAGAGGAAACGGAGTGCAAACGGAGAGTGGAAGAAGCGGAGGAAAGAATGGAAGGGCATCCGATATCGGCCCTAGCCTGGGCAGCGGAGAGGGAGAGGCGGTTGGCAGTATGGGAGAACCTACAGCTAGCAAAAGAACGACGATGGGCAGAGTTGCTTAAGGAGAAGAGCATCGAAACCAACGATAAGATGAGCAAAGAGTCTTTCCCGAGGCTTCTACCGAGACGATCAACACAACAGATGGTGGAACTGAAACATCCATTCGACGGAGCTGTTCCAGCAGTTTCCTTGGCAGCAGGAATGTTAGAACACGCCAGACTCTACTATGAAGATATACTCACAACTCGTTGCCCACAAGACGAGATCACCACGGATTTCACGGCAATTTCCAGCATTTAGGAAGACACAAGTGTGAAAGTTGCAACTCCGACCAAGCTGGATCTGGACACGCCAATCACATTGGAGGAGACCACCCAAACGCTGAAGTCCATGGCCCGTGGGAAATCCCCTGGGATGGACGGCCTGACAGTAGAGTTCTACTCTAAATGCTGGGGGGTAGTGGGGCCGTCGTTAGTAAAAGTATATAATGGAGTGTTGACAGGAGGCAAATTGGGCAAAAGGATGACACATGGAGTAATCTCGTTGTTGTTCAAGAAAGGCGGAGGTAAGAAACTGGCGCCTTATCTCCTTGTTGAACGTCTCATACAAGATCCTGGCCAAGACGCTTGCAAGGAGACTGGGACACCAATTACCTTCGCTGGTGGAAAAGGACCAGGGTGCCTTTGTGCGCGGACGATCAATCTTCAACAATATAGTAACTGCTGTTGAGGTTCTAGAGGTAGTGCAAGCGGAGGACCTTAACACTGTAGTTCTCGTGATCGACCTGGAGAAAGCATACGATAAGGTGGGGTGGACATTTGTCATGACCACGCTAAGACACATGGGCTTTGGCGAGGGCTTCTGCAAGTGGGTGGTTGCGCTCTACACTTTGTCAACATCAACCGTCATGGTAAACGGCTTCCTTTCTACCTCCTTCAGATTGTCAAGGTCACTGCGCCAGGGTTGCCCACTTGCTCCGCTGCTGTTCGTGCTACAGATGGAGGTGCTCCTGAACCGCATCAGAAGACACTCACAGATTAGAAGCCTGCGATTACACGACGCGATGGACTGTAAGGTGAAGGCTCTCGCAGACGACCTCTTCACCGTCTGCGAGAACACAGTGTCAGCTCTTACGGCATTAAAGGAGACCATACAAGAGTACTCGGTGTTGTCGGAAACTTCGGTGAACTGGACCAAGTCTGTCTACCTGTTACCGCACCAATTCGAGCTGGAGGTGGAGTGGGGGATGAAAAGAGTGAAACAGTGACAGGAGGAAAGGTTCATAGGGGTTCTCCTTAGTCTCCACGTGGAAGCCTCGGTGCAAGGTTCCCTGCTTCAGAGCAGGATTGCAGCGAGGCAAAACCTTTTTTTTTTTTTTTTTTTTTTTTTTTAAACAAGCTTCATCTATTGGTGAGGAGCAACACCTATTGGAAACCGGGTCGAGCGTCCCATAGATACAACCATATCCTCACCAATTGGCACAAATTGGGAACCGGGCCTAGCGTCCCATAACGAGCACATTCAGAAGAGTCATCAGAAATTCCATGAAATGAGACTAAGAACCTACTAAAAATTCCAATTGGCTTAAAAATGGAATCTCAAAAATTAAGATACCGGGGCCAATACCCGGCGTGGCTCAGAGAATTTGGAGCTACTTCAAACCTTTTTTTGCGAGAAACTTCAGAGCTAGACAAAATTCAGAAAACGAGTCCAGGACCCACCATCAGTCCTCTTTACCTCACTCCGACAAGACTTACTGCAGCAAAGTCACCATCTCCACTGCTGCTATGCCCTATTTCTGTCCTACCAGCTAGCCCCTTCACTAGTAGGACGCGCGATATCTTTCTCTCACTCACCTCAATCCCTTTCTTGCCCGTTACCCGGCTTTGGCTGAAAAACTTACTGTAAAACGGGAAGTATGGAAATAGACTGCAGAAGTCCTACAAATGCCCCAAAAACCGTGAAATCCCTAACAAAACCTTCCAAGGTTCTCCGACACTGTCTTTCTCCCTGCCGAGCTCTTCTAGGCCTCACACCCCCTCATCCTGCTGGGTTACAGGGCAACGCAACTCACCCAACTCCGGCCAGCGTCGTCCCAGCAGCAACCCTTGGTTGTCCCGTGGAGTGCCCCCCCAAAGCACCCCCAGATCTCTCTACCAGGCCTCATGCTCCTGCAAACCTGTGGGGCTCCGCTTGGCACCTATCGCTTATAGGTCGGGCGTTGATGGCAAACGTGGCGTTGTTTTCCATACTCTGGTTTGTATGCATGGTCAGAGAGATCGTAGATGGAGTCTTTGCTGCGGTTCGCAGACTGGTCGCCCATTTCCAGTGGAA